TAATATTTAATAAGTTTTGTTTAGTATAGCACAAGAAGAAATGAGTACAAGAAGAATGTAATGTGTCATGCCTCCAAGTGGGGAAAGCCTCCTGAATGAGAAAATAAGTATTTAAAATTTTGGTTCTTAACTGCACTCAAATATTGGTGGTAAGTAGATAATTATTTTAAATAGGCCATGGATTACTACTTTCTTATAATTTCACAAGGCAACAGGAAACTGCTCCACTATCATTCCCAAGAAGGCATGACAATTCATAGATAAGAAAAATCATCTACACCCTGAAGGAACATCGCATTAAAAAATCAGTTTATAAATCAATCTCCTCTCTTTGCAGCTAGGAATTAAATAACAAAGTAGACTGAGCTCTGTAATCTTGGTTAGTAGCAACCAGTCTTAGAGTGAAAAAACTCTAAATTTCAAACTGTGGAGAAGACAAGGGGAACCAATCCACTGTTTTTCCAGAGAATTGCATGGCAATTCACAGATAATAAAGGAAAGGAATCTGTGGAGAGTCATGATCACCTATGTCCTAAATAGAAATGGCATTAAAAAAAAGTTTGCAGTAAGGTTGGCTGTGATTTTTTTGATTTTCAAGCAGTAGTTGTAAAATTTAAGTTTATTTAGAAATAAATAAAACATATACATGTTGATAGTTTATTCATTCACAAATACAGCAAGTTTTCTTTATCAAAACAAGTAATTTTAAAGAATATTAAAGTGAATACTTGACAAAAATGTTATAAAATGTCTGTAAACCTTGAGATCATATTAAAAATGAAAAATAAACAAATTAAACTGGAAATTATTTGCTGCACATGAACACAAGTCATAATTACTGCTTTCAGATTATACTGCATCTGATTTCTTATAATGACTTGTTCTTTTTTTTGTGATAAAAGTTTTTTATACATAACTTCCCAAAGACTAAACTTATCGTTTTGTTTAAAAAAAACTAAATAACTGTTTCAATAGACTTTCTTTATTTTATCTACTTTAGAAGTCATTATGTGTTTTTAAATAGATATGATCCATTTAGTAGATGGAAATGTAACTCTGGTAAAGTGTAAAATCATGACCATATAAGAAATTGTTGCCACTGAAAATATCAAAATATCTAAAATATTAAAATACCAAAAATATCTACTTTTTTTTACATGTATCAAAAAAATTAAAATTTTTTTGAAAAGTCTAGTTTCTTGCAGATGGTGGGAGGAGTTCAGATTTTTGACAATTTGATTTCTGAACTTTTACTTTACTTAGATACTTGGAACTATAAGACACTGGTCAGAAGACAAAAATAAATCAACCATGTTTTGTTATTTTAATGTGAACACAACTTTAAAACATGCATTTGTAAATTCTCTTAAATGTAATTACATATTAAAATAAATTACATAAAAATAGGTTACACAAAAATATCAATATATCTGATATATTAAAATATTTGAAATATCAAAAATATCTGAAATATCAAAAATATTAAAATTCAAAAATATTAGAATATTTAAAATATCTGGTGATGATAACAATCAGGAAACAAACAGTACCATAGTTCAAAACACTGATGATGCTTACTTTTTTCATTGCCCATATTTTGTTGCATGACTACTTAAATATTGACCAATACAACATATGACTTTATAATAGTAATATAAAACTACTTAGGAGCCAATACAACAACTATAGTTGTGTGTAGTAAATTTACAACCAGTTTGAATAAATGCTGTTGTAGTAAACTACTACTGATTTTACTCTTGATATTTACTAGGCTTAACTTAGTACAACACATGGTATAATGGGGACGGGCAGATAAATGTGGAGTGAGTATGTTAAGCCAATCTTCCAAATAAGGAGGGCCTACATAACTAGGAAAACAGCATATAAAATCCTGGCTTTTGCCTGGCTCTGAACACTGACCTCTGGTAAGAAATACGGAATGAGTTCATTATAACATGATTTTTGAGGTCAATAAAATGCAATTTTAAAAAAAAGCATAGTTGTATGAAATTAAGATTTAAGAAAGTTTTAATCAAAATTATATAAGAAAACACAAGTAAAAAAAACAAAAATAAAACACAAAATATGCTCTGCCCATTATGTAATATCTGCTTTTCTGGTAAATTTGGGTGTGTAATTGTACATATAGAGCATAACTATTCTAATAAGGGAGCCGATCTTGTTCTCTGTTCATAAATATTAAAATATCTAAAATATTAAAAATATTAAAATATCTGAAATATTCAAATATCTAAAATATTAAAATTTTGAAAATATCAAAATATTGAAAATATTAAAATGTCTGAAATATCAAAAATATTAGAATATCTAAAATATTGAAATATCTGAAATATTAAAATATCCGAAATAGTAAAATGTCTGAAATATTGAAAATATCAAAAAATATTAAAATATCAATGTATCAAGAATATTAAAATATCAATATATCAAAAATATAAAAATAGCAAAAATATCAAAAAAATATTAAAATATCAAAAATATTAAAATATCAATATATCAAAAATATAAAACTCCTCCAAGTTGCCCACAAAGAGATTCCTGCTCATATCCTCTGTGACAGAAATATAAAGAATTTTATTTTTAACTTCTTGTCTTCTTTTCTTTTCACCTCACTGATGTGTAAAATATTAAAATATCAAAAAAATATTAAAATATCAAAATTGTTAAAATATCAAAAATATTAAAATATCAATATATCAAAAAATAAAAAAAATAGCAAAATATCAAAAAAAATATTAAAATATCAAAATTATTAAAATATCAAAAATATTAAAATATCAATATATCAAAAATATAAAACTAGCAAAAATATCAAAAAAATATTAAAATATCAAAATTATTAAAATATCAAAAATATTAAAATATCAATATATCAAAAATATTAAAATATCAAAATATCTAAAATATTAAAATACCAAAAATATCTAAAATATTGAAAATATTAAAATATCTAACTATCATGAAGGATAAAACATAATGAATGTCTGCAAAGTAAAAAAAAACGAAAATTTTTTAAATAAAACAAAATATCAACTATAAGCAGAAGAGTGTAAAAATTTTGCAGTTAACCTAATCAACTTCTTATTTTTAAGCCACTGTAAAATTTGAAGGAAATATATGGAAGGAAATATATTGATCTTATTTTAGGCCAACAACTTAGTTTTAACTTTTTAGTTTAATTGCTTGAATTAAATTTCTGGAGGCTTAATCCATTGCATTTGACTCTAGTGCTAAATTTATTTTTTAATTCCTACCTTGATCTGTTATCAATTAAACACTTCTAAGGTTTCGAATATTCAATTAGGTTTATCAGTTTAACTTTAGTCATGCATAACTATTAGAAACGATTATTAGTGAAGCATTAATCTGGAAACCCAAGCAATAAAATTTGTAGCAAGTAAAAATTTAACAACTGGGTTTCTTTAAAATCAAATCTCAGCAAGTATTTTTGCTAATTTTACTATATTTCAAAGTATTTATCATTCATTGCTCGTTGCCTCATTATTGAAACAAATTATTTTTTCTGTATTAAAAATATTTGGAGTAGAAATAATGCTATTGTTTCATAAAATTTTATAGACATTTTATTTTTATTCCTTATAGACTCCTTGTATAATTTATTCCTTATAGATTCCTTGTAGTGTTCAGGGCCATCTGTTGTGATCAACATAACAAATAGATATTATATGGTCGGGTTGTTTATCCATTTGCCCAACTCTTCTTCTTTACTCAGTTTGGAACCTGGTTTTGAATTTGGAGTCATCCTTCTCATTTGTCTGTTATACTATTTTATTCATAGCTAGAAGGAAAATAGATGCATACAAATTGTTTCAGCATCAAATTAGATCTCTTTCTGATTCACTCTACATGTTGCCAGATGTGAATGCTAACAAAGCAAAAATAAAAATTAAAAAAAGCTGTCCTATGCACAGGGGCTCCAAGCATCACATCCAACTCATAAAACAAATCCCCTAAAAAAAAACATAAAATTTAAAAGGAGCAAAACACGAACATTGCTGCTAAAGCAAAAAGATGAAAAAGATGATGAGTCATAATTCACCCTATCTTCTTTTAAGAACACCACTCACAACACTGTAAACACAGTCATGGCGAGTGTGCAAGCTGTCAACATCACCACCAATGACCTTGGTCAACTGACCCAACACATGTATCAATTCCAGGCACTACTGACACTCCCCTTCCTCCAAGTTGCCCACAAAGAGATTCCTGCTCATATCCTCTGTGACAGAAATATAAAGAATTTTATTTTTAACTTCTTGTCTTCTTTTCTTTTCTTTTCACCTCACTGATGTTACTTGTAAGGTTTCATTTGTTCTCTTGTGCTATCATATGCATGTTTATAATAGCTGGAATTTGAACTTATTAATTATATTTTTGAACTTATTAATTATATTTTCCAAGCTGTTAACTGTGATGCAACCACCACACCCACAGATTTGCTGATACCTTTTTTAAATACTGAGATTTCTTTTTTAAGCTAGATATTTCAAAGCTCAAAAATGCTTAGCACATATGTATGCACTTACACATGAACACATGTAAAGAGAAAATGTATTGATATTTATTGCAAGGATTGAAATACATGCACATATATTAGTATATTTTATAGTATTCTTCTGTCATTTTGAATGTTTCCATAGCAAGAAAAATCACACTATTATTCTGTTTGTTCCTCCATTAATTGATTAATTTATTTTCTATGGTTTATCAGCCCTTTGTAGGTTATTTAAAGCCAGAAAATATTTTTAGATTCTGAGAAGTTTTTTTGAAATAATAATGATTTAGTGATAAAAGTATTACTAATTAACCCATAGCTGGGGAGAGAAGAGGTGGATTCATACCTTTCCCAAAGTTATTTGTATGAAAGTGAATATAAAAAACCCAATTTGAAGTGGAGTTCGTCTCTCCCCGATTAACAATTCCGAGCCATTATCAAGTATATCACACGCACATCTAAGCTTACAGTACCTGGTATTCCCAAGCGGTCATCCATCTAGGTAGTGACCAGGCTTGATGTTGCTTAACTTTGGTGTTCGTATAGGAACTAGTATTTCAACATGGTATGACTGTAAACCGTTCCTCTATTAGTATCTGTCTATATTTCTGAGATGAGGTATTATGTACATTATTTACATTATTTGGACTATTGTCCTTATCTTTGTTGCCATATTTATTACAACGTTTCAGCCGTTGTATGCTCCGGACTTCTTCAGGTGGTTGGAATGTCGAACTTAACCCTTTTATTTCACTCACTGTTCTAGTTCCAACAGTCTACCTCAGTGAGCGAAATAAAGGGTTAATTTCGACATTCCAACCACTTGAAGAAGGCCAGAGCGTACAACCGCCGAAACATTGTAATAAATATGGCGACAAAGATGAGGACAATAGTCTGAATAATGTAAATAATGTTCCTCTATTAATTAGTAAGTTAATTAGCACATGAATTATGCCCTACCATTTCATTTTGATTATAAGGAAAGACAGAAGAAAAAAATATATCAGAGATGCAGTTTGTTATTAGTGAGAAAAAGAAAGCATACATACTCATAAGAAGAACAAGAAAGAAAGGGAGATAGAGGAGGCAATAATAATAATTTAATGTTGCTTAAGTCAAATGGAGAACCTTGTCAATTTTAAATGCTTTGATTTATACCTTCTTACTTTTTTTAAATAATGACATACTTATGATTTTTATCACAATATTTTGCTAAAGTTGTTAATCACTATTATTTAATAATGCAATAGGAGAATATCTATAAGTATTTTATAACCTTGCAAGGAGCATATTCACTCATTAACTTAGGAAAAGTTTACCTTTCATCTGTGCATCAAATACTGCTGTCATATCTAGGCTGGTGCTTCTGCTATGTATCTTAAGATTTCTGACAGAATCCAAAGAAGAATCTGCAGTCATATGTTCTGACCTGGTATCTTAGCTTCAATCACTTTCCCACTATCATAACGTAACTTCCCTGTGCCTTTTCTATAAATACTTTCATGGATATCGTTCTGATGAGCTTTTCCTCTTTTGGTTCCTTGACTTCACAAATTTAAACTTAGTACTAGATTGGCAGCTAGGTCTCATCATTTTACTGTTGATGTTAAGTGTAAGCATAAGTTCTATGTTAATGGTGTCTTCTCTCATGCTTGTAGAACTCTCTTATGTCTCCTTGCTTTTCTATCAACAACGGTCTTCAAAAATTTAAATGCAATGTCAATTGTTATCTTCAGTCTCATTGGGTTTTTTAATGTCCTCTCTCTCCTCAACATTTTCTCAGTTTTTTTTCATTCTCAGTAACCCCTTGCACTTTAGTGATTTTATTGCCTTACTTGGGATGAAATAATTAAAAAAGAAATTGATCCATTAGATAATTTTAATAGGAAAACCATCAAGTTTTCATGGGGACTGCTAAGTATTTAGTATTAAATGATAACATTAAAAGTGCCCATGCATCTTGCTAGTATAAAATACTCACCATTTTTCATATGATAAAGCATTGTTAATATTTAATTTGAAGCAGTGGTCAGTGAATTTGTTCTTTACTAGGTGCTTCATTAATACAGAGATCAGATAATATCAGCCTTGTTCAGTCAATACTTATCTGTTCATTAGTTTCTGAATCATTGACATTGTTGCTGTTTGTTTTCAATATCTCCTTTTTACTTAGACCAAAAGCATTCTTTTATAACCTTATTTATTTCAAGTGGGAATTTGCAAGCTATTTTTCTATTGTATCTAGTATTATATTGTTATTTTCATATTTAAGTCTGTCTTATCCGTTTCCCTTTTCCTTACTGATCACTTCTCAGCTGGGTGCATTTCTAACCTTTTTAAAACTAATGATTCTCTTTCACACAACAGGAACCAAACAAGTTCCTAGTTCACTTCCTCATGTTTTCTCACTAATTACAATTTCATTGCAATAACACTGACGATGTTGCTTTCTGACAACTGAACTAGTAAACAAGATTAACATTGATATTTAGTGTCGATATCATCAATCATATCAAAAATTTCTAATAACAACACGAATAAGAAAGAGTGAGCAAAATTTTGTAAGTAACAAATTTTGATTAGTTGAAAGGTGGGAAGTTTGTTGCTTTTTAAAACTCATCAAACCCAACCAGTTTTACGTCACTTTTGAAGAATAATTCTAACTAGCTGGATCAATGAAAATTCCATAGATCTTGACAACACAGATTATTCATTATCTCATACCTTCACACTTTTATCCCACTTTGCCTGTACCTTCTCATTCTCTCCCTTATACGTTCCAATCTTTGTGTTTTTATCTATCTGTCAAGCAGGCACAAGTGATTTTTGTTTTGTATGTGAAAAAAGAATAATGATTGCACAAAATTTTTTATTTCATTCTCTCTTAGATCTTTCTTTGCTGCATTTTTTCATAAAGAATTTTAATGTACCTCAATTTTTATTCCTTTTCATGCTTACCTACTTTTCAACCTTTTCACTCATTGACTCTTCTTAAAATCCAGCCAGGAAACCTGTCATAAGAATTTACTCCCATATAGAAAAAATATTTTAGTAGGCACACATGAAAAGAAGTACACTTAGTGTGAAATTGAAAAGAAAGAATTTATTTACAATAGTTTAAATTGGAACAGAAATAAATGTATAAAGACTTGCCCAAAATATTCTTTTGAGTGGCCAATAAAAGTTAAGCTGGATAAATAAAGAATGTTCATTTAAAAGTGAGACTGATAATTGATAAAGTCAAAAATGTTCTTTATTAAAGGGATACAGTGAAAGTTCTTTCATACTTATAAAAGTTCTAACCTGTCAGCAATCAATGTTAATAGGGAAGCTAGAAAAGAGAAAATATTTCCAGTTTGCATTTCCCTATTATGGGCATTAGTATATCTGTGATATGTCAACACCTTAACACAAGTGACGGAACAGAATAAAGAAAGGAATGACAAACATTCATTATTCTCAAAGAAATTTCTGTATATCACTCTGTCATATAAGAAATTATATACAAATATGTAAATACTTGTTACTAATTTGTCCCACACAGAGAAATTATAGCATATGCATGCAACAAGCAGTGTGAAAGGGGCAAAACATGGGAGGGCTTCCAAAAAGAAAACAGGCAGGCCAGTGGTGTCCTTTATGTACCTGGTGAGACCATGTGGTTTCCTCTGATCTCTTAACTACTGTAGGCAGTCATGTCTTACTTCTTTTCTTTCTATATAGCAAATAGTGTTAGCAAACAGATCTTACCTCTATGCATAACCCTTGTGATTTAATAACCAAAGGGAGGTAATCGCCCTTTGGCATCATTACAAGGTCAGCATAGCAGTTAAGAATGTTGTTGGTGAGGAAGACTGCATGCAAAATTTTGGTAGCAGTGATGCTATCATGATTTCGTCTGCGTCTCTTTAAGTTGGTTTCAAAACAAATTGTTAATTTTTAGTTTTGGATATGTTGTCTGGAGTTTTGGGACTTTTAAGAATTTTCTTATTCCCAGCTGCAAATGTTTTTTTGTATTCTTTAGGCATTTCACCCCAAAAAAAGGCAGGAGTACCACTAGCATGTAAGGAGTTACAGAGAGTGAAAATGAGGAAAAAACTCTGTATAGAAGGGATTAAGGAAAGAATAAAAGAAGAACAGGGATCAAGGCAATAGAAGATGGTGATTGATGTTGCATTTAAACTTTTGAAGATTTTAGTTATCAGGGAAGCAAATAAGAGGAAGTGAGTTCCACTGTCAGAAAGCACGAGAAAAGAATCTACTGGAGTAGAAGTGGTGGTTGCATTTAACTATTTCAACAGTAAAAGGGTGGGACCTACATACCAATCTACTATAGATTAAAAAAGTTTAAATAAATTTGCATATATTGATATAGATATGCATATGAGAAATCTAAATAAATTTGTATAAATCAATATAGATAAGCATATAAATTCATGTAGTCGGGCATCAGAGAAGATAGCTCCTCAGAACCGTTACCATGAAAATATTTGTAGAAAAGACAGTGGGAAGCCACATCATTTCTATGAGAAAGTGATTGAAGTCGAGAAGTCCAGTCAGGACTGATTACATTGCATATCCTTCTTTGAATTTTGTCAAGAACCTTTAGATGAACAGTAGGGGAATTGTTAAAATTCTCTCTATATCTGTTTGACTATTCATCTGGATAACATATGATTAGTGATTTTTACTGGTCAGTGATCTTGCTTATATTTTGATTATCAGGATCACTCATTTATTATTTAAAATTATTGTATATGTATTTTTATGTATCTCTATGGTAGAGTAATGGATAGTGGCTCAAATTGAAGAATCAGAGAGCCAAGTTCAAATTCCTGTCAAATCCATTACATTCACTTATGTGCTAATACCCTTGGGAAAGGCATGAATCCTCTTCTTCTCCCCCCACCAGCAATGGGTAAATAGCAGGACAGACCGGGTTCTATAGCCTTAGATGCCAACTGGTCTACTGCAGAAAGAAATGGCCATATACTGCAGGAAAAAATCTGCCTTGTCAGTCATGTATTGAAAGATACATGATTACCTAAGCGATTTTTAGTATATCTATTATTGTAAGGATCACCCACATCCTGAAAGGACATATGAATGACAATTGTAAGGAAATTATTCAACTCATTGCTTATCATTTATAAATTATTATTAAGCATTTTAAATGCATTGCAGAAAATAAACTTTTCAAATTAAACATGGCTGAAATAGTTTTTCTTAATTTGTGAAAAAGTAAACACAAGGAATGATAGCATTAGGTATCTGTTATGGTCCGGTTCCTTATACCACGGTAATAGTCCAAGGTAGAACCAATAAAGAAGAACACGGATATGGAATAACACAGATATATTACAAACAGGAATATATACAGAGAAGTAGAAAGTGTTAGTAGAAACAATCAGGTTTAGTAGTAATTGTCTGAATGCGACTCTGTTTCGGACTGCCTCTGACTCGACTGACTGACTGACAGACTTCTGATGGACTTCACTCCAGACTTCAGACTGAACCGTATTTAGTCACCCCCACACGAGGGTATCATGTGGCACAAGGCCGGTTTAACGTGGGAT